CCCCTGCCCCAGCCCCCTACCGGCCCCCGACCGCCTGGTCCCTGGCAGCAAAGCGGGGAAAGGGGCCGTTCCCAAAGCACTGGTGCCTGGTGGCAGTGAGGGGTTGCTGTGGGACCGGGTCCCAGCCCAGACTGCGAACAGGGGTGTCAACCTACAGCACCCCGACCCCAGCGAGCCTCGAGAATACAACGGAAAAGGCACATCTGCAGCAACAGCTCTCAAAACGGGGAAAGCAACTGCAGACTTGGGCGGTGGAAAGAGGAGAGGAGGGAAAGCATCATTTTAATATTCATTGCCTCCTACAGGAGAAGCAGGCAGCGACTGCTCCCATAATTAATTAAACATTGGAGCAGTGCTAATGAGCTATACAGGCATAGAGGCTTCGAGGCAGCGCTGGTCACCCCGAGCTGCCCCACAGGGCTGAGCCTGGCCCCTCTGCCCGCTCTCCCGTGGGCAGTTTGGTGCTCGGACATTTTGGTAACGCCTCGCCCTGAACCCACAAGGGCGAGTAGACTTTGCATCTTCTGTACAAACCTTTCAAAGGCAGCTTTAAAAACGCTAAGAAAGGACATTTATATCCAACTGCGGGCACTACAGCTGCTGTCCTGTGCAAGTGGCCGTGAAAAGGGACCCGACAGTCGGGGCCGGATCCGTGGGACAGGCAGGATGAGACGTTCAGGTCTTCAGAGAAAACAGCTGAGCTGCCGCTTCCCGATCACAGGGGAAACTCTGCTGAGTTCGCAGCTTCTAAAACAGGCCAGCGGGAAAAAAAAAAAAAAAAAATTGGCAGGTTTAACTTTGCATCAATTCACGGCGTATTGTTACATTTTTAAAGTATATAAAACTATTGATCATAAGCAAAGCAATTACTTCTGCTCATATTTAAAGCCACGTGGCAGGCGATAAGGAGTCGTGTCGCTGAACCCACCCAGCTGTTTCATAGGAAGGGGCAAAAAACCTTCATCAGAGGAAAAATCCAAAGTGGAGGCTCCTTGCACGTGAGCCCACGCACGCCCATGGGGCTGGAGGTGTCTGCACCAGAGTTGTGGTTAAATCTTGAGAACTGCTAAGATGGGAGCATTTTGGGCATCCTACTTAACAAGAGGCTAAAATACAGGTGACCCGAGGATATGCCCCAGTGTACTGACAAATACTTTCTCTCCAAAGGCTTCAAAACCCATCGTACAGGTTAATTACTCTTCGCGGTCCCGCTGAAAACACAGCGAGAACTTCTTGAGCTACCTCCAAACCTCCATCACTCTGAGTTGGGCCTCCAAACACCTTTATAATAATCCTAAAACTGAAGCCCAAGGGAGGTTAAAGCATCTCCCCTTGAAGCAAAATAACCCCTTAACCTCCCGCTCAGAAACCCTTCCAGTGTTTGGGCTGACACCAGTGCAAAACCCGAGCCGTGCAGGCGTTCCGCACAGCACAGCCGCTGCTCAAGCGCCTCTGAGGCGACCAAACCCGATTGTACGTGATATTTGGGTAGCAAGTTTTGTAGAGAATAAATATCACACTTCAATTTCATGGTAACTTAGGAGGGTTTACTGGCAAATACCATGGCTTTTACATGGTTCTACCAATTACCGAGCAATTACATGTAACCTAGATCTGGAGGACATACAGGAGCGATATAATGTATTCCTCTCTGTGTTAAGAAGAAAACGGCAGTTAATAGAAAACACTTTTTTCATATATATTATAAAACCCTCCACAATATTCCTGCGTGACATTATGAAAACTCCACATCAATATCAAACCCAAAGCAAAGACTGCCATCTCATTAACACATCAGTTGTGGGATGATCAATAAAAATTTACTTTAAACTGCACCATATGTCGCTCCCCACAAAGTTTTATTATTCAGATTCATCAGTTTGTACCTCAAACCCTCGTGCAATTAAATCCCATTTAGCAGCACTGACCTTCTGATTTGAACTTGTCATTCCTACAGCTGGTTTGGAGTTTAACAGCACTTTTAAATAATGAAAACAAAATGGGGAGCCCTCCGTCGGGAAATCCCTCCCACGCCGCTGCCGGCGGCACAGCTCCCGTTGACAAAACAGGGAGGGCTGGGGGAAAGAAAAAAAAAAAAAAAAAAAACATGTTGTAGCATATTTGTAAACATCGTTAATCACGGATTAGCAGATGGTAATGTTAATTGCACCTGTGGAAGTAACAAGACCTCAAGGTTGATTACATTTACAAACGCGGATCGGGGCTGCGGCGCGGTGGAGGATTCCCCGCTGCCGGCGGGGAAGGGACCTCCTGGGCGGCGTTTCCAGCTCCGGCCGCTCCTGCCCCAGCCCAGCAGCACCCCACGCTGCTCCCTTCAGCCGTGGTGCCTCCGTGGGACATGTGTCCTCTGTCCCAAAACCCTTCCGGCCTCAGGAAACCTCATCAGGACCCAGCGATGGATTTGATGGAATGGGATTTTTTTCGGTCGTGTTAATAATCTGTGCACAAAAGCGAAATCTGGGGCACGAGCTGAGCTTCTCTTGCAGCCACTTCTCCCTGGAGTTGATTTTTGGGGGATGAAATGATTTGCGTTCGCCCTCGTCTGAGGATAAAAAGGCCGAGGCGCAGAGCGCATCTTCTGAACCAAGGAGGACAAATATTTTGCCACTGAGCTTAGAGACACTTTGATTATTGAGAAATCATTTTGGAAGGGCAATTACTAAATTTTAAAATCAATTTGGTAAATAAGCCTCTGAAAAGAATCCATGACAAGCAGCGGGGAGGGAAGAATTGACTTTCAAATTACACACACACTTTATTCATATCTAAATATCAAAGAGATTGTATGTACAAACAGAAGTAATCAGGAAGCATGTTTTGATCTTGCTGATGTACACAAAAAAATGACAATTAATATCCTCCTTTATGATATAAAGCTGGGAGTTTTTTCCAGTTACATTACAGGGGCGATTATAGTCAAGCTTAAGGCTAAAAATAATGAAAGACTATAAAAACTACATTTTAACATTTAAAAATATCCAGGAAATTAACTGGAGAAGCAGGCAATGATCCAATTAATGGATTGCATTTATTAGATCAGGGGCAAACTGCACAGCACAAAGCTCCTTCTCCAAAGGTGTGAGTGTGCAGAGGTCCCCGTGCTCCTCGCGGGTCTCGGCCCGGAGCAGGATGGAGCTGGGGCTGGCGAACACATCCAGCAGCAGCCCTGTCCAAAGCTGGCTGAGCGATGGCAGACAGGCATCCCGGTGAAACAAAGCGGGGCCAAAACTTCCCACTGAGGGAAAAGGGCTGAAGGCAAAGAGCAGAGCCGTCCCACGTGGGATTTACTGCTCCCACAAAAGCCGTATTGCAGCTCTCAAGTCAAAAAGTCTGAGCTGCAGCCCTAGTTGGAGCTCAGATTCCTGTCTCTTAAAATTCCAGCCTCATGCAGCTCCGTACAAGCCTTGTCTGCTACTCCAGCACCAAATCAAGGTGTCCCGTGGATCCAGCAGCTCTATGGGGAAATCTGCAGGGGAGTCGTGCCGGCTGCTGGGCTGACGGACTGCCGGAACTTTGATCTACCTCACTCACCCCGTCAGCACTGAGGTTTCAAAGCTTTTTAGGAGCCTTTCAGAAGTACCTGCTCCATCCTTACTCACCTGCCTCCTCACTAGAGGGGGTGAGCCAGCACGGCTAAGCACAGTCTGACAGTGCCCAGCTTTCCCAAACACACGCAAAGCCAGTGAGGTGTCTGCTCTACTGAAGTACTGCTCAAATAAAGTAAAGAGAAAGGAAAAAGGAGAAACTGCAGTTCCTACGAAATCAAAATATATATACTTACCTACAGGTCAGGAATAAAGAAATGGCTTTATCCTCATCCCTACCGCGGAAAGAAGGATTCAGTTAGCCCCAGGCGCTGAATCTTTCCTTTGAAAAATGAGCAAACCTGAGCCACGGGCACCCTCTGCTGGGGCGCCCACGGCTGCGAGAGCAGCGCCGGCGGGGGGGCCTGGCCTGCAGCCTCCCTGGCCCTGAGCCTTCTGTTTCAGCATTAAAATAAATTTAAAAAGAGTCATTCAGCCCACAGAATGCAAGAGCCGTCGCCCCAGCAATGCCCCAGCTCACCGTTATTCAGTGACCAGCTCGCCTTCACACTCGGGCAACAAAGCCCCGACAGCCGCCGCGTCGGAGGGGTTTGGGGTTTGTCCTTTTCCCGTGGAGAGGGCGCCGGGGCAGCCGCAGCTCAGCACCTCCTCCATCACAGCCACACGAGTGAGTGTGACACTCTGCAAGAGCTCCATGTCCTGTCCTGTCCCCCCCGCCGGACCCCGGGCACCTGGGGCGTCCCCAGCCCTGCAGCACCCACCGGCCAGGCCCTCCCAGGGACGAATCTGAAAAACCTCCACATCCACAGACCGGTTTACAGACTTCATTTAGCTCAAAGGAAAGTCCTAATTAGTCACTCTGAGTGATTTACTTGTTCATTTGGAAGGGGGGAAGGGGGGGAGACTGAGCTGAATTGTTTGAAATTATCCCTAAAGGGCACTGTAAATTAAGTGTTAATGAGGAATCCTATGCAAAGGGCCACAGTAGCTAAATAAAATAATTAAGGTGCTAAGTGATAACATTCATTTGGTTCTCAATAATTTAGCCAGTCTGGTTTTCAACCAGGATATCTGCAAATGAAACTGCCCTCACCCCACCCGCCATGCGCCGTGCTGGGGCAGCTCAGCATCCAGCCCACCACGGAAAGGAAACTGCCCCGGAAGAAGAGAAAAAGCTCCCAATTCCCCTTCCCACCTGAAGGAAGTGCTCTGTTCCACTAATCACGCTCTGGATTTATATATGTCACAAAAGGGATTGATTCGAGCCTACAACCAATCTTTACAGAGGCTTTATTTCAACGGACCGCGTTTTTCCCCACTAACAGCCATTTTCTAACAGCTCGTTGGGCAGGGCTGCGGACCTGGTTTGCAACTAGATACAACACGGTGGGTTTTTAGACGTTCAAGCAGCAATACTGAACAGAGAAACCGCCTCGTCGTGAAGAAACTGCTACCGAGTAGTCCCCAGTCACACCTGGCTCTCACCAGCACCCTCTCGGCTGCTACGGGGGTGGTGGGCTGGGCCACGGGGGGGCACAGCTGCTCTCAGCAGTACTGGCTCTCGCCTACAGCCCCAATTCTCTCCACAAGTGATGGACAAAGTCCCGAGCGATGTATAAAGTCCCCTTGAGCAACAAGCACAAAGCTTGCGGCCATCACCAGGTATTTTACTGCCAAGAACTGAAGGATTTGGCTGTCTGCTTTTAAAACCGAGCTTTGTCTCCCGTACAGCCGCTCCCCCGAGGTGCCGTGGGAGCTGTTACCTGGGCAGGTGTCCTGGCGTTAAGGCAGGGTGCTGGTGGTATCGTGCGTCAGCCCGTGCGTCAGCCACGAAGCAGCTCAGGTCAGTGGGAGATTCTCCCCATAAGTTGCAGCAACGGTGAAGACTCTGGAAGGAGCACTTCCATCTCCACACCGACAGAGCACAGCCACGAAATGCCGAGCAGTTTCCCCCACCAATTAAAAAAAAATTTCAGTCGCCATGCCTCAGCTTTTGGCTGCAGATGGAGTGGAGGAGAATACCTGTAGGAAGGCAGAAAGAAATAAATAAATACCATACTTTAAACCACAATAAAATCATTCTGTGAACGTGGATGTTTGTTTGATTTTTAAATACAGAAATCTGGACTATGACGCCTTTGTGCTCAGAACTGGTTTTACCTGTAGCAACAGAGACGTTCAGCGACTCGATGCCGGGGTGCAGCGCTCTGCCAGGGGGGATGGCCAGCATCCGATGGCACAAGAGCTGCGTCTCTAAGGACAGCCCGTCGCCTTCACTACCTGCAGAACAAAGACACTGCTCAGGCCAGCTCGCAGCCGCTCCCACGCCCCTATTCCCCTCTCCCAAGTACAGTTCTTGCTAATGCTCTGCCACAGCTACACCCTTGCCCCTAAGCTCACCTCAGCAGCTCCCACGGAGCGACAGCCAAGGACTGCCGGAGGCGAGACGGGCACCTTACCTGCCTCCCCTTCCTGGCCCACTCCAGCCTCCCTGGATCTGTTCTCCAGTATCTGAAGTGGTTTTGAGGGACTACCTGTGCAACACGCCTGCGTGCACGGCGTAAAGCCTTGTGGCGTGAGCACGAAGATCCCCCGCGCAAGCGGCCACCGGGCCAGCAGACGGTTGCCCACGTCTGCAGGCTGCTGCCAGAGGGACAAGGCAGACAAGAGGCCACAGGCCCAATCTGGTCCAGCAAATCCCACATCCCTATTGATAGTGACGGGCTCAGCCTTTTCAGCAGACAGTACCACCAGCTGGGTGCAACTTGTGAATGCAGACAGTTTAACCAGAGGCTTCAATTGATTAGTTGTTAAACCATCCAACAGCCCTGATATGTTTGGGCTGATACACTGGTGAAACAGAGTTGAAATCTATCCCAGGTCATTAGTAGTTGTTTGACTCACTCTGTCACAAAGGGAAATGGAAAGGGAGAGGCTTTAAACAATCCTGCGCGCAGACAAGTGAAAATGCAGAAGACCACAGACCTCCCAGCCCGCCCGGCTCCCCAAAGAATTCTTCCACATTCATTATTTGGAGTTACACAGACAGCTACACGGCTGCAAAAATACCCAGCTCATTTCAAAGACGGGCTCACCCTCTGATTAAACAGGCTCAGCATGCTGGAAGCCAAATGTTCCCCTTCGACAGCCGTACCCCAACCCCGGCTGAACCCCAGACTCGTCCTGGGACCTCACACGCTGCCTAACCAGGGGCTTCTGCACCTCTGCCTGCGTGACCAGGGCGGTCGCCAAGGCCTCGCTCAGCTCACCTAAATGTAGACGTTTATCTGAAGTTTTAACAGCACACGTGGATGCTTTAGGCACTTTCTGAAGACTCACTCCAAACGAGCTCCTTGCTGGGCTGAGCTGCCACAAAATTCTGCCCCTGGTGTCTCCTGACACAGGTCCCTACGTGTCACAATATTCCTCTGACTACACAGGGTAGGAAGGTGTTATTATTCCCATTTTGCAGATGGGAAGCTGAGGCCCAGTCTAAAGTTTTGCTGGCCTGATCTAACTGGCAAGATGCATTTTGTGTAAGGAAAAGAACGCTTTGGGTAATGCATCTTGCCTCACCTTCCCACGTGAAATAAGCCATATAGGTAAAAGCATCCTTTGGCTGGGGTAAATGAACTTTCAGAAAACTAAAATCCCACCCTAACCATTGCTTCCCTCCTGCTGTAAGCCAACAGGGTGAATTATCCAAGGTCACAGGGAAGCCTGGACAACACAAGGAATCAAAGCCAGGCCTGCCACAGCCCAGCCTGCCTCTTCATCGCTAGACTGGGGCTCTCTAGGGATGCTTCACAACCAAAAAAAAAAAAAATTATCCTACTTTTTCCTGATTCAACACAGAAAAGTTTTGCAACTTAAAAGTCACATTTCCCTCCTGAGCCTCTCAAACCACACTCTCGTGGGACTCTCCAACTGGGACAGCAGCTATTGCCAGAGGTGCAATGGCTCCTGGAACAATCCTCTTCTCTCCCTGATAAGGGTCTTACGATTCCTAATAAAGGCAGCAATTTTGCTTCCAGCTTTTACAAAGCTTTTTATGGCTCTGGCTGCTTAAAATAATTAGGAACCATAAATTCAGGGCAAAAAGACTTGCAGAGTGTGACACGAGGGAGGGAGTATTGACTGACTCAGATTAAATCCTAGTTTAAACTGGTGAACAAAACACTTCCCACTTTGACTTTGATCTTTGACTTCCATCTCTTAGCTTCAGTCCTCACTGACAGGCCTCAAAGACCAGAGGAAGAGCTTGGCTGAAATGATAAAACAGGCTTCCTGCCCAGTTTCCAGCGCAGGAAGTTCAAATCCAGGCAGAAGCGGCTGCGCTGGCAGCTCAGAGAAATATGCAAAACGAGCATCTTGGTAAAACCACCAATTCCACGAAAACCTCAACCCCCAGCTAAAGACTGAATGCATAAGAACAAATTACCCAGAAACTCTTCTTGCTCAGACACCTAACTGCTCCCAATCTGCTCCTGTTCGCACACGGCTCCCCGTCTGACGGCAGCCAGCCTGCCCGTCACCTTCAGCAACGACTCCAGTGCAGACATTAAGCTGGACTGTCCAAATCACTCTCTGCCAAGCCAGCGAGGCTGCCAGGAGCGTGAATCCTAGTCTGCAAATGCTTAACTTACAAGACAATCTGTGCAATGCGAGGAAGCTCACCACCATGCTAAATTATCTCTGCCGCTCTCTGCAGCTGCAGGTACGCTACATATTCAGATCTAGGACGTTTCTTCAAACAACCCCAGCATCAGACGACTGTAATGTTCAATTTTCTTTTCAGCAAAGAGTTAGTGCTCAGCAGAGAGTTGAAATCATTACTGCTGCAAGGTCCGGGAGCTCTCCTCATGCATCTACCAATCAGCCTCCAATCTCCCTTGACAAAAGGATATTTGGACTTTTTCCTGGAGAAATCTCTCATAATTCAAGGTAACGACACCACTGCCACTTTCACCCCCTTCCTTTCTCCCGGTGTTGTCGTCGTTTCTGGGATGCATTTCTTTGTGGTCCATCAGCAGTGCTGCCAGCCTCCCTACTCCCTTTATAATAAAGCTCCACACATCTTGTAGAGATGCCAGATTTGCGGCGTTGTCTTGTCAGTATTTCTGGGAGTTCAATAAACATTTTAATTAAAGGAATGTCTTCTGAGCCAAGAAAACCGCAGCACAGGGCAGGATTACAGCCCCTTGACGGCTCATCGCCAGCATGACACTACTTCCAAGTGTAAAAGCTCAAACCAGCTCTTGTGACAGGTGACATAAAGCAGGGGGCTACGGCACAGCCGCACAAAGGTGCCTCGAGCAGCACTCCTGGGTGAATTGCTTTCTCTGTTCACCACAAGAGTTACTCCTCTTCACCCTCTGGGAGGCTGCACCAGCCCAAACTCTGCCTACAGAAGACAGTGTCCTCTGCAAGTCTCCCTTACACAGGGAGAGGGGAGAAGCGGAGGGCCCTGGAGGAATCACCCCGTCTAGGGGCTCGGGAAGGCGTCACCCGTTGCTCAAACAGCGCACAGGTCTGGCAGGGAACAGCTTTGCGTTCAGACCATCCCCAGTGACAGCTCCTCATGCTTCTTTCCACACCTGGGCACAGAGATGTATTCCTGATTTTGTTTTTTTTTTTTTTAAAAGGAAACACGACAGAGCAAAGACACGACACAGCTCACCCTTACAGCCTCAGCGCAGCAAGAGCAAACACGTACCTCCTGGCACTCTCTCTCAGGTTTGTGGTTCACCAGCACAGAAAATCCAGGCTCGGGGCTCTAGGACAGGATCAAACGCGCTGCAGAACACAGTGCAAACCAACACACTGTGGCTGCACTGACCCACACCTGCCCTGCCACCGAAAACTGCCATCTAGACCCTCTGCAGGTACTAAACTCCTTGTTATCTACACAAACTGTTCTTGCAGTTCCTCCTGGGAGGCTTCTCAGCTCCCCCTCTTCTTCTGGGTCCCTATTTTATTTGCTTCAAGATCATTCTAGGACTCCTTGCTCAGCTTTTCTTTGCCAGACCAAAGTGTGATGTAATGTACCAGACCTGCAACAAGCTCGGGAGTGAAACATCAGCCTGATCGCTCCCTCACACCGGCCCTTCCACCAAGCCCAAGGCTCTGTAAACTGAAATACCTATTACTATAATAATGGGTTTATTCCACCGAAATTCCAAGCAACTGATGACAGGAATATTTTCTGCATCCTCAGGATTGCTGACTGTTCCCACAACTTCCCAGCCTTCTGCAGTTTTAGCCTAGAAAGGGAAAGTAAACAAATATTTTAAAATTGCCTACTTTTCAAGCCTAAAAAGAAAAATACATCAAGTACGCAAACACGCTTTTTTTTAAGTTTTCAGTTAACTGACTGGCTTTTCTCATTTTTTTGGCATCCCTTGAATTTTTACCAGCAAAGTACTCCCAGTACCAGCACACAAACCTTGATTTAAGGAGAAAAAAAAAAAAAAAAGTAATTTTCCTTTCGGTGTTTATTCCAGTTCATCAAGCAAACAAACAGCAACTGAAAAGCTTTTTTTTTTTTTTCCCATACAACAGCTCTGGAAAGGTTTTTGCCAGGAAAGCTTACAAAAAGAGTAGTGTTAAACAAATTAGCATACGGCTAATCCATAGAGCAATACAGTGGAAGTTCCCAAGTGCAGGCTCAGGCATCAGAAGCCCACAGTAACATTTTCAAACACAAGCGCACATTTTTAAACTCAGATGCCCAAAATCAGCTCGTACCAAGGGCAGGGCACTCAACACTCAGTGTCTCCCAGACCCAGTGAACCAGCTGTCCCTCCTGCACCCTGGTAAAAAAGACCCTTAATTATTTGTCTTGGAAATCCATTTTAACAATAAAAGAGCTTCTGCTTCTTGCCAGCTTCATTTCCTGCAAAACTGGCACTTTTTCCATTACGTTATATCAAATTTACACCAGCCAGGCAACACCAAGGGTTAGGCCAGTGAATCCGGGTCCAATTAAATGAACTGCTGCAATGGCTCAAAATGTTAATAATTCAAGCTTTACAGTAACAAAGTCATTCTTCCAGCTGTTTCAATTAATATCAATGTATTTTATGTATCTTTCATTTCACCATCATCCAGAGCTCCAGCTGCCACCGACCTACTGTACAGCTGGACAAGGATTTTTTAGCACCAAGTGGGAAGAGTCCAGGCTTGCCTCTGCTCAGCCTGCTCGCAGTCACCCCTCAAAGGGACTGAGGCACGCAGCAACCCCGGAGCCCAGGCCGGGTGCCTCTGTTCCCCTGAGGGTCTGCAGCCTCTGCCCTCCCACCCCGTGCTGAACCCTCCAACCCCACTGCTCCACAAGCCGTCTGGGGGATCCCACACGAACAGGGGGGGCCCTGCAGCCCCCTGCTCTGTGTGAACACAATATTCAGACAATCCCCAGCCCGGCCAAGGCAGAGGGGATCTCCACAGGGAGTCAGGGCAGTGCTATCACAGGGGATGGACACACTCTGCCAATTCCAAGCAACATCCTTGGGTTCGTGTCAGTTTAAAACACGTTTTTCCCTGTGCATTCTCTTTCCTTTGGCAACACGTTCTGCAAAGGGCCCCATCTCGCCTCACCGCATAGGTACATCGTAAAAAGCCATTCCCAGCAGCTCGCCCCGGCCCTGGTTGCTCCTCTCTTCCCTGCTCCAAAGGCTGCCCAATGCTGCCATCATGTGCCTGGGCCCCGGGATGCTGCCTCCGCCACACACCGGGCAAGACCTGCTGCATGCAGGCAGCAGCGCCAGCTCCGGAACCCACGGAGAGAAAGGGAGACGCAGCCCATCTTACCGAGCTGACAGCCTGAGCATGGGAGGCAGACGCGGCGTTTTCCTACCACCATCTTCCAGAAAAAGACCCACAACTCAGACCTGTTACCCCACGCGATGGAAGGGGACCGGGGGTGTGTGCCTGTCAGAGGTGGTCCGACAGCACAGACCACCGGCGGCAAACAGGAATGCAGAGCGGGAGCACAGGACACCACAACTAACTTGAGTCCTTTTTTCTGTACTTCCTCTGTGTTCAGCAAATGCAATATTTGAGGTTTCTTGAAAGGAAAGAAAAAAGTGGATCACTCTACCTTCAAAAAGCTCCGGAGATCATCTGTGCTGTAGACGTCGAAGACTTCCATAGCTCCAGAGCTAGCTTTGCTCACTGTTGGAGTCAAGGGGCAGCTGCAGGGAAAAAGGAAAGGAAAAGTGTCATATGAGAGCAAAAAAGAAAATCCGGGAGAGTTTTTGTTTCTGCATTTCCTTGTCTTGCCTCTGTAATGCAATTCCAACTAGTCCACTAAAGATCTCGCTCACTATACGGACATGTTTTCCTATGGAGAACAGAAGGGCTCAGATATTAACCCAGGAAAGAAGTTACAGCATTTTGTGCACGGATGGACAACTGAAACACAAAACAGGTTAAAACAAACAGTAGCCAGGGAAGCTCCTTACCAGCCTGGAATACCATGTCCCACAGCCTCCCCGCAGAGCGCAACATGAAGCAGGAGCTAGGCGACTCCAGCTCTCAAGCTCAGTCCTAGAAAGCCCTCTAAGGAAACTGTCGAGCAACGCAGGCTGGAAAGCTCTCTGGGAGCCAGGAGAAGAAGAAAAAGGAAAGCAGAAGGAGCAGCTACCCAACCCCATACCTGTTCCTCTGGCTTGTCACCACTCTGTCCACCCCCAAGAAGTACGCAGAGCGCAGCAGTGCCCCCAGGTTCATGGGATCCTGGATCTGCTCCAACGCCAGCCAAACCAGCTGTCGGCTCGGCCTCTCTTCATGCCCCACATCAGGCTTTTCAGCTTCCTCCAGACTCTTGAAACGGAGAGGGGTGGCCTCCAAACAAACTCCCTGATGGACCTGACCTCTGCAAAGCGCATCCAGCTCTCTCCTGTTGACGTGGTGCACAGGCACGCCCCGGGCTGTGGCCTGAAGGACAAGCTCACTCATAACAAGCCGGGAGCCGCTGCTCTGCTTGAGGAACAACCTGAACAGGTCCCTTCGATACTGAGAGAGGGCCAGGGAACACGGTGCGATCCCAAATAAGATCTCCGAGCCTTTGGTCCTCTCGATGGACGGCGGCTTTCCGTCCGGCCTCTTCCTCGCCTTGGAGAAGTCGCCCTCCCAGGAGCTCCGCGACTCCCTTCGGGCCGGCGGACCCTGCCCGGCCCCTCTCTCGCAGGACTTGTGCCACGGTCGTGGCAGGCCCCGCGCGGCCAGGCCCTCCCGGCGGGTACGGCAGTCACCCCCCACTCGAGAAACCGCCGGGAGGGCTGGTGGGGGAAGCCGACTGCCGCCATCCCCGCCTCGGGGTGGCCCTTGCTCATCCCCACCCGCGGCTGGCGGGGGCTGGTG